GCCTGCGTCTGTGCGCGCACATGGGTGCGGGCGGGTCATTTTGCGCCGTCTTCCACACATGCACACCCCCCCCCCCCCCCCCCCCCCCAATATGATGTCCACGCACACAGCCGCACAAGGTGTTCATCCAAAACTACCCGCCGGAGCTGACGCGGGCCGAATTCCCGCCCGATCTCTATGAGTCTCTCTCGCTCATCTACCAAGACCCCGGGATCAAGCAATGCCTCACGCTCTCGCACCAGTTTCCCCTGGCCGACTCGACCAGCTACTACCTGGAGAGCCTCAGCCGCATCGCCATGCCCGGCTACCTGCCTGACGATCAGGACGTCCTCCGGACCCGCGCCAAAACCACCGGCATCACCGAGGCCGCCTTCAAGGTCGGCGACTTGACATATCGCATGTTCGATGTGGGCGGCCAGCGCTCCGAGCGCCGGAAGTGGATCTACTGCTTCGAAAATGTGACCGCCATCATCTTTGTTGTGGCCATTTCGGCATACAACCAAAACCTCCTCGAGGATGAGACCGTGGTGCGTGCGCGCCTTGCCACATGCGCGCGGCCCGTCTGCGCCTGTCCGCTCCTGCCGGCCTGCCCTCGCTCGGCGCCCGGCGCCCGGCGCCGATGCATTCCCTCCCTCCACTGTTGGCCGTGGGATGCTGACCCCTTCCCCTTCTTCCTCCTCCCCCCGCCCCTCGGCATCGCCGCCCGTGCGCGCCCCCCTGGCACGTGCAGAATCGCATGCAGGAGGCCCTCTCCCTCTTCAGTTCGATATGCAACAGCGAGTGGTTTGTCCGCACCTCGATCATCCTCTTCCTCAACAAAATGGACATCTTCAGCCAGAAAATCCCCCACTGGCCACTGAAGGACTACTTTGAGGACTATGATGGTACATGGTTTCCTGCCCGGCCGCCCGGCCGCCATCGCCTGTCTTGCTCTCTCTCTCTCTCTCTCTCTCTCTCTCTCTCTCTCTCTCTCTCTCGGGTCCGTGGTTTTGGTCGTCGCTTTTCTCACCCCCCCTCCCCTCCCTGCCTTTCCCTCCTCGCCTCCCGCTCGCAGGCGGCAAAGATGTCCGCAAGGCTGCCACATACCTGATACAGAAGTTTACCAGCCTCAATTGTTCGGCCGAAACCAAGCAGATCTACACCCATCTGACGTGTGCCACCGACACCGACAAGATGCGCTTCGTCATGGCGGCCATCGGGGACATCATTCTTCAGGCCAATCTCCGTGAGTGTGGGCTCCTCTGAGCGGGGGCACACGCGGGGGCGCTCATTTCATGGAGCCCCTCCGCCTCGCCGCGCCCCTCCCTGCACACATCCACACAGTCCGGTCCGCTGTGTTGGTTGTTGACGTGTCTCCGCGCCGGCATGTTCGCATGGCTTGCGACCCTGCCATCCCCCCCCCCTCTTTCTCTCCCTCTCTCCCTCTCTCTGTCCCTCTCCCCGACATACCCTTCAGATTTCCGCCGCTCGAGAAGGCTGCAGCCTCTTCTCCCCGCTCCCCGCCCCCCATGAGCGTCTACCCCCCCCTCCTCCCTCCTCCCTCCTCTTTCCTCTTCCTCTCCGCTGGAGGCTGCCCTTGAGATTCCCCCCCCCCCTGTTCAGTACTATCCCCCCCCCCTCCCTCCCAGCCGGTTTCCCCTCCTCCCTCCGAGGGAAAATAGCACAAAAGGGGGACGCGCGCACCTCCCAGTTCCCTCCTCCGGTGCATGCGCTCCCCCGTATCCTGTTATGCATTGCATGTTCTGCCTCTTCCCACTCCGTGCTTGTCCACATGTGGTCCTCTCCACGCTTGTTCCTGGCAAGGGCCCACCCGCCTGTCTGTCCCTGTGTCTCCCCCCCTCTCTCCCTCTCCCCTACTCTCTTCCGAGAAAGCATCTGCACCTGCTGTGTGATAGGCGATCCCCCCCCCCTCCTGCCCTGATCCCTTCCCCCTCCTTCAATTGCACGCCCATGCTTGTGCTGGCACGGCAGGCCGGCTCCAAAGTGCAACACCTCCCCCCCAGGCGAGAACGAATCGTCATCCGCGCTTTCCTCCCACCCCCCTCCCCTGTTTTTTAGAAATACACGGCGCTCTCTTCAAGCTAAGCGCAACTGCCCACGAACACGCCGCCCACCCGAAAGGAACCACCGGACGCTTGCCTGGCCGCCATTCCAGGGGGCACGCCCCACCTATTGCCACTGGTCCCGCCAGGAAGAGAGAGCAGCAGGCGGCGGGGGGCGCAACAGCCCGGGACGGCCTTTCC